AATATAACCCTGACCCGCATTGCAGACGACTGAAAATTCATGCCATAGAAATGCGTTTGAGTCCCTTTCGCCCATCCAAAAGTGCCCCCAAAGGAAGGCTTTGGGTACATGTGAACTCCCCAGGGAAGCCTTTATGCAGACCCACATGCAACTGGACCCTCCGTGTTTGTTTTTTCCGAGCAACACTAAATGTATCCCTAGCCGGCATGGGAGACAACTGAAAACTCAGGCCCCAGAAAACGCGTTACAAGCCCCTTTCTCCCATCCAAAAGTGCCCCCAAAAAAAGGCTTTGGGTACAAGTGAACTCCCCAGGGGAGCCTTTACGCAGTCCCACATGCAACTGGACCCTCCGAATTCGCTGTTTCCCAACAACCCTAAATAGAGCTCTGGCTGGCATCAGAGACGACTCTAAAATCGGGCCAAAGAAAACGCGTTACAAGACCCTTACGCCCATCCAAAAGTGCCCCCAAAAAAAGGCTTTGGGTACAACTGAGCTCCCCAGGGGAACCTTTACGCAGCCCCACATGCAACAGGAGCCTCCGTTTTCGCTGTTTCAAAGCAACCCTAAATATAGCCCTAGCCAGCATCGGAGACGAATGAAAATTTAGGCAACAGAAAACGCGTTACAGGCCCCTTTCGCCCATCCAAAAGTGCCCCAAAGGAAGGCTTTGGGTACAAGTGAACTCCCCAGGGGAGCGTTTACGCAGCCCCACATGCAACTGGACCCTCCGTATTCTCTCTTTCAAAGAAAACCTAAATATAGACCTGGCCCGCATGGCAGACGACTGAAAACTCGGGCCCCAGAAAACGCGTTTCGAGCCCCTTTCGCCCATTGAAAAGTGCCCCCAAAGGAAGGCTTTGGGTACAACTAAACTCCCCAGGGGAGCCTTTACGCAGCCCCACATGCAACTGGACCCTCCGTATTCGCTCTTTCACAGCAACCCTAAATATAGCCCTGGCCCGCATTGCAGACGGCTGAAAACTCATTCAATAGAAATGCGTTTGAGTCCCTTACGCCCATCCAAAAGTGCCCCCAAAGAAAGATTTTGGGTACATCTGAACTCCCCACGGGAGCCTTTTTGCAGTCCCACATGCAACTGGACCCTCCTTATTCGCTCTTTCACAGCAAGGCTAAAAATATCCGTAGCCGGCATCGGAGACGACTGAAAACTCGGGCCAAAGAAAACGCGTTACAAGCCCCTTTTGCCCATCCAAACGAGCCCCCAAAGGAAGGTTTTGGGTACAAGTGAACTCCCCAGGGGAGCCTTTTTGCAGTCCCACATGCAACTGGACCCTCCGAATTCGCTGTTTCCCAACAACCCTAAATAGAGCTCTGGCTGGCATCAGAGACGACTCTAAAATCGGGCCAAAGAAAACGCGTTTCGAGCCACTTTCGCCCATCTAAAAGTGCCCATAAAGAAAGGCTTTGGGTACAACACAGCTCCCCAGGGGAGCCTTTACGCAGCCCCACAAGCAGCTGGACCCTCCGTGTTCGCTGTTTCCGAGCAATCCTAAATATATCCCTAGCCAGCTTCGGAGACTAATTAAAACTTAGAGAACAGAAAACGCGTTACAAGCCCCTTTCGCCCATCCAAAAGTGCCCCCAAAGAAAGGCGTTGGGTACATCTGAACTCCCCTGGGAGCCTTTTTGAAGTCCCACATGCAACTGGACCCTCCTTATTCACTCTTTCACAGCAAGGCTAAATATAGCCCTAGCCGGCATCGGAGACGACTGAAAAATCGGGCCAAAGAAGACGCGTTACAAGCCCCTTTCACCCATCCAAAAGTGCCCCCAAAGGTAGGCTTTGTGTACAACTGAACTCCCCAGGGGAGCCTTTATGCAGCCCCACATGCAACTGGACCCTCCGGATTCACTCTATCACCGCAAGCTTAAATAAAACCATGGCCGTCATGGAATAAGACTGAAAACTCGGGCCCACAAAAATGCATTATAAGCCCCTTTCGCCCATCCAAAAGTGCCGCCAAAGGAAGGCTTTGGGTACAAGTGAACTCCCCAGGGGAGCCTTTTTGCAGTCCTACATGCAACTGGACCCTCCGTGTACGCTCTTTCCCAACAACCCTCAATACAGCCGTGACCGGCATCGGAGAGGACTGAAAAATCGGGCCAAAGAAGACGCGTTACAAGCCCCTTTCGCCCATCCAAAAGTGCCCCCAGAGGAAGGCATTGGGTACAAGTGAACTCCCCACGGGAGCCTTTTTTCAGTCCCACATACAACTGGACCCTCCTTATTCTCTCTTTCACAGCAAGGCTAAATATATCCGTAGCCGGCATTGGAGAAGACTGAAAAATCGGGCCAAAGAAAACGCGTTACAAGCCCCTTTCGCCCATCCAAAAGAGCCCCCAAAGGAAGGATTTGGGTACAAGTGAACTCCCCAGGGGAGCATTCATGCAGTCCCAAATGCAGCTTGACCCTCCGAATTCGCTGTTTCCCAACAACCCTAAATAGAGCTCTGGCTGGCATCAGAGACGACTCTAAAATCAGGCAAAGAAAACGCGTTACAAGCCCCTTTCGCCAATCCTAAAGTGCCCCAAAGGAAGGCTTTGGGTACAACTGAGCTCCCCAGGAGTGCTTTTACGCAGCCCCACATGCAACAGGACCCTCCGGGTTCTCTCTTTCACAGCAACCCTAAAAAGTGTCCTGGCCGTCATGGGAGAAGACTGAAAACTCGGGCCCACGAAAATGCTTATAAGCCCCTTTCGCCCCTTCAAAAGTGCCCCCAAAGGAAGGCTTTGGGTACAACTGAACTCCCCAGGGGAGCCTTTACGCAGCCCCACATGCAACTGGACCCTACTTATTCGCTCTTTCTCAGCAAGCCTAAATATATCCCTAGCCGTCATGGGAGACGACTGAAAAATCGGGCCAAAGAAAATGCGTTAAAAACCCCTTTCGCCCATCCAAAAGTGTCCCCAAAGGAAGGCTTTGGGTACAACTAAACTCCACAGGGGAGCCTTTACGCAGCCCCATATGCAACTGGACCCTCCGTATTCGCTCTTTCACATCAACCCTAAATATAGCCCTGGCCCGCATTGCAGACGACTGAAAACTCATGCCATAGAAAACGCGTTTGAGCCCCTTTCGCCCATCCAAAAGTGCCCCCAAAGAAAGATTTTGGGTATATCTGAACTCCCGAGGGGAGCCTTTATGCAACCCCACAAGCAACTGGACCCTCCTTATTCGCTGTTTCCGAGCAACCCTAAATATAGCCCTAGCCGTCAGCGGAGACGACTGAAAAATCGGGCCAAAGAAAATGCGTTACAAGACCTTTTCGCCCATAAAAATGTGCCCCCAAAGAAAGATTTAGGGTCCATCTGAACTCCCCAGGGGAGCCTTTACGCAGTCCCACATGCAACTGGACACTCGGTATTCTCTCCTTCACAGAAAGCCTAAATATATCCCTGACCCTCATGGCAGACGACTAAAAACTCGGGCCCCAGAAAACGCGTTTCGAGCCCTTTTCGCCCATCCAAAAGTGCCCCCAAAGGTAGGCTTTGGGTACAAGTGAACTCCCCAGGGGAGCTTTTACGCAGCCCCACATGCAACTGGACCCTCCGGGTTCACTCTTTCACCGCAAGCCTAAATACAGCCCTGGCCGTCATGGGAGAAGACTGAAAATTCGGGCCCACAAAACTGCGTTATAAGCCCCTTTCGCCCATCCAAAAGTGCCCCCAAAGGAAGGCTTTGGGTACAAGTGAACTCCCCAGGGGAGCCTTTTTGCAGTCCCACATGCAACTGGACCCTCCGTATTCTCTCTTTCACAGAAATCCTAAATAGAACTCTGGCTGGCATCAGAGACGACTCTAAAATCGGGCCAAAGAAAACGCGTTACAAGACCCTTTCGCAAATCCAAAAGTGTTCCAAAGGAAGGCTTTGGGTACAACTGAGCTCCCCAGGGGAGCCTTTACGCAGCTCCACATGCAACTGGACCCTCCGGGTTCGCTCTTTCACCGCAAACCTAAGTATAGCCTTGTTGTCATGGGAGACGACTAAAAAAGCGGGCCTCAAAAAACGCATGGCAAGTCCCTTTGGACCATCCAAAAGTGCCCCCAAAGGAAGGCTTTGGGTACAAGTGAACTCCCAAGGGGAGCCTTTACGCAGCCCGTAATGCAGATGGACCCGCCGTATTCTCTCTTTCACAGAAACCCTAAAGATAGACCTGGCCCGCATGGCAGACGACTGAAAACTCGGGCCCCAGAAAACGCGTTTCGAGCCACTTTCGCCCATCCAAAAGTGCCCCCAAAGGAAGGCTTTGTGTACAGCTACACTCCCCAGGGGAGCCTTTACGCAGCCCCACATGCAACTGGACCCTCCGTATTCGCTCTTTCACATCAACCCTAAATATAGCCCTGGCCCGCATTGCAGACGACTGAAAACTCATGCCATAGAAAACGCGTTAGAGCCCCTTTCGCCCATCCAAAAGTGCCCCCAAAGAAAGATTTTGGGTACATCTGAACTCCCCACGGGAGCCTTTTTTGCAGTCCCACATGCAACTGGACCCTCCTTATTCACTCTTTCACAGCAAGGCTAAAAATATCCCTAACCGTCATCGGAGACGACTGAAAAATCGGGCCAAAGAAAACGCGTTACAAGCCCCTTTCGCCCATCCAAAAGTGCCCCCAAAGGAAGGCTTTGGGTACAAGTGAACTCCCCAGGGGAGCCTTCACGCACCCCACATGCAACTGGACCCTCTGTCTTCGCTCTTTCTGAGCAACCCAAAACATAGCCCTCCCTGGAATCAGAAAGGCATTCAAAATATGGCCCCAGACGGATACGTGTGCTTTTTTAGTGCAACGGCTTCAGAAGCAAGAGGGGAGAAAGCACTTTCTCTGGGAGCTGGAGAAGGTTTCCTAGTCGCAGGAGAGGTTTCTAAATGGCATATCTTTGCGAGTGTTTCTGTAGTCCGGAGGGTTTTTGTTTATTTGTTTACCTTTGGAAGGTTTTACTCTTAATCTTCACGTCCTTCAGCAGAAGTGAGAAATGTGATTTTATTTTGTGCAGTGTCGCGGACCCTCCGAAATCTACTGGGAATGATGAATACCTCGCACAGTACCAATGTGATGACGGTGGAGACAAGGAGAAACCAAGAAGATCAAAAGAACGTGACCTCATTTCAAAAGAAAACGTTTTGTACGGCAAAGAGTCTTCTGAGCCTGGTGAGAAATTGCGGCAAACTTCCTCTCTCAAGTGTGACACTGAATGTAGCTCTAAAAAGCTTTCCTCCTCAGCTATTGCAGAGAGATGCCAAGGTAGAAAGGACAAGACTAAAAACACTGAGAAAGAGCATTACCAAAGCAAGAGGGAACATGCTCCTAGTGAAGAGAAGGAGAGTCAAAAAGCAGGTCCTTCCAGCAAGAGGAGGTGTTCTCGAGCGTGGAAGTTGTTGAGCAAAAGCGTCACAAGCAGGAGCGCTGGGAGGGAAGCAGGTGCAGATCTTTCCCTGGTGAAAGAAACAGCCCTGAGAATGGCAGAAGAGCAGTCAAATATTCAAGGTACAGATCTGGCAGCGGAGGAAGATCAGAACAAGGTAGCAATAGATATTAGCGATCCAAAGGGGAAAGAAGTTGGAGCAGAGAAAGATACTATCGAGATGAAGCACGGAGATGGGAAAGATGTAGCTATTACGATGATTACTATTCACCTCATGCGACAGGAGACAGTAGAGAGAGAAAGTCCTCTCACGGCGATGCAGCCTTTGACAAATGGACTGCAACTTACTACGGCAGGTCACATAAGCATTATCATTACAAAAGTGGATGGCCTCACGGTTCCCGCTTGAGAGATGAAGATGTATGTCGCTTTAGCACACCCCGAGCAGACTTGCATCGTTGCTCGGTATCTCAGCAACATTCTGGAAGACATTCTCGTGAAAGACATACGCTTCCACCTGTGTCAGCTCATTTGGAGAACCGTCGCCAGAAAAATGAAACAGAAGAAAACAGAAAAAGAAAATACACCCGTGCAGAAGGTAGTGAAAGTGAAATAGAAAGGAAAGACAGAAAGATAGAAAAGGAGCTTTTAGGTGGTGAAAAAAATGCAAAAATATCACAAGTTCTAGAAGAAAAAGAAGTCTAAGGATAAACATGGAGAGAAGGATTCCAAGTAAGCAAGGATTCCAGCATACTCCGCATTTTTTATCCTAATTCTTTTTTGGGTGCTTCTCATGTATTTTTTTTTTTCTCCTTTTATTTTCTTCTCCTTTTTTCTTCTTCTTTTTTTTTTTTTTTTTTTTTTTTTTTTTTTCTGGTAGTTTTCTAAGTTACTTAGATAGCATCAGCTGGCTGGGGATCATGTTGTTAGGTTGATCGGTGAAGATAGGAAAGCTATTGCTGAATTGTGTCAGAGCACTAGCTTTGGACCACCATAGTTGGAAACACATCCGTACAGCATTCTGGATTAGGTTAAAAGTTTTTTTTTCTGCTTGCAGTATTCCAGAGCTAGCCATTGGTAATGATCTGTGTACAACCAGGACCTATGGTCCTTCAATCTGAGGGCTTAAGTTTGCTACATCTAAAGTAAGTTGCGTGTGCACAAAGCACCACAAAATAGCTGACATGCTGCAATCATCACCTGTGGTTAAAAAAATAAAGTTCATATAGGCAACAAGTGCCACATCTTTTTTTCTCTTTTAAACTTGCATGTTTCTTTCAGACTTCACGATTTGTGTTTCTGTGCGCTCCACTTTGACAATGCCAATCACAAGCGTAAAAAAAGAAGAAAAAGGAGTAAGAATAAAGAAAAAAAGAGAAACAGCAGGAAAGTGAAAGGCTCCTTGGAACACTTAGATCCTCGTTTCCAGAAGATAACGCGGGAGAAGAAGGAAGAATCCCGTCCTCCAGATGGCTCTTCATGTGAGCAATGCAGAAGTGAGAGCAGTAAACAACCTACAAGGAAGGGAAGCCTTCCAGTGCAGGCGAAAGAAGAAATACAGCTCCGTCTCCTCCAACGCGTGTATTAAAGGTAAGCGGGCGCAGTTGTGTTTGAGGAATTCCTTTTCTATTAATGTAGAGATTATTTCAAACAGTCTTGAAGTGCTTGGTGACTTAACAGTCTGCTGGATATTAAAAAAAAAAGTTGATGGACTTTTTCTTTCCGTTTTTAAATGACCACTAGAAAGAAGGCCTGAAATAAAGAGGTGAAAGGCAAATAGTTTTCATTTGGTGTGATGATTAAGTGTCAAACAAGAGGAAGAGTTGCAAGATCCCTTCTTAAATCAGTCCAGCCAAGTAGGAAAAGTAAATGTGGACAGCTGTATCTTGGCAAAGAAGATAGTAGGGAGCAAGGAGGTTTAGCAGTCAAGATGGTAGGTGATGCCATGAGGCTTACAGGCTAGTAATGTTCTAGTGAAACCCAGCCTTCCTAAAGAAGCCCGCCTGAACTAATTCCTGTGAATAACAGACTCTGTTCAGCTATTTCCTAACATAGAAACGGTGCTGACTGCTTCTTCAGAGTAACATAAGTTAGTGATACTACTGAAATAGTTGTGGTTTCAGATTGTAGATCTGATTTCTCCTAAGCATGCTGAATTCACAGCTGTTGATCCTCAGAGGAGACTTTGCAATTGAACACCTGGAGAATAAGGAAATTTCCCCACTGCTGTTCTCCTCTCCTCTTGTTTTGTTTTGTTTTTGTTTTGTTTTCCTAGTAGCATAGGCTTAAGACTCTGAGGAAACGGGCTGCTTTTTTTTCATTTCCAACACTGGCTGTTCCTCCTGAGCCCCGCCTTCTATTTTGCAGTCACAGGATATGTGAATGTAAATTCTTGGGAGAGAGGTAGAAAACTCTGTTTCAACTGGTGTTTTTTTCGGCTATGTGGGGAGA